GGCAGGGGAGTTGGAACTAGATGATCACAGGGTCCTTTCCAACTCTGACCTTTCTATGATTCTATGATAGTTATCTTGTTCCCATTTACCATTCAGTGCTTATAGAGCAAACAGGGCACTAAAATACTGAAGGGAAAAGCTGTTTGAGTACTTGAAGCTGGTATTAAAGGACACAGCCCTCCTTTTTTACCTCTTCTATAAAGAGGTTAGCTCCTCTTTTGGTTTATCGTACCTTTGCCCTACATCTTTATTTTCATCTAGTAATAGGAAAGGAGGGGGGAATAAACAGCAGGAAAGACTATCATCAGCTGCCTCTCCTTAACTTTTAATGAGTGCACAAGAGTACTAGATATCAATAGACCACAATTTAGGGAACTGAGAGGTACCAAAAGACAATACTTAGTCCTAAAAAAAAAAAAAAAACAACACAAAAAAACCAAAACAAAACAACACATAAGAGAAAAAAATTAAATTAAAATAAAATAATTACCCTGCATGTTTTTCTTTTTTAACCAAAGAAGCAGCTTACCTGGATAATCTTTTTATTTGGTGCATTTGCCGACTGCTCCAGAGATTTGGCCTTCTTCTTTTCCTTCCTTTTTTCCTTATCAGCAAAAGTACCACGCATTTTAGAGATGATATCAGAGTCTGTTTTTGCATACTGAATCCGCTTTTTAAAAAGGAAAACCACCACAAACAAAACAGAACAAGACATACGCAGTTAATGATACTGATTATTTTATACCATTTTCGTTAACTGCATTCTGTGCATTTACATTTTTTCCCCCAAATTTCTTATATTATTAAAAATATTGCTATAAACTGTAGATATGCTTAGAGTATCTAATCCTCATGATTAATTCTGAACATAACTATGGAACTCAAAAGACCCCTTAAGATGGAAATTACTAATTTTAACTCCTTGAAATCAGAACTCTATTCATCTAATAGTGTTTTTTTAGCACCTGTCAAGGTAAGAGATGTAAGAAGTGATGTGAGGATGTGACAAAATTTGAACTATCTTCTATTAAAAACCCTAGGACTTTTTAACCCCATTTTAAGGGTTAAAACTTTACAGTGATTTCTCAGATCTCAGCAAAACTCAAACGTCTTAAATAAAGAGGCGAGTACATGCCTTAGTCCAAACCAGTTGCATAGATCGTGTCAGCAGCACATTGGTGCTGGTTTTCTGACAGAGGCTGCCCAATGCAGTAGTCGGGGAATGCAGAGGCAGCTATGAGTATACTTATGTGCAGTATTACATACACACACAATCCTATTACTTTTACTGTCAGAGACTGTGAGACTTAATACAAAATTATACAGTAGTTGAAGGTATTTTTTAAAATGCTTTTTGCTTAGACAAAGCATGCACGCTGCAGGCAATTTTCAGAGGGATGTACACCTGAAAGCTTATAAAGTCTTAATCTTTTTATTTCCTATTGCGTTTTACTGAGTTCAAACCTTGATAAGGGTAAATGACAGAACTGAGCTTGCACAAGTCCTCATCAAGGATTTTAGTGGGGAATCTGAAAGTGTTAATGAAAAAAAAACTTGTGGCTCAGCAACACAAACTGTCTGTGCTCTCCTAAGTGATCAAAGCCATGATCTGAAAGCCAGCAGTAATATACACTTCATGTATCATTATGCCTCACAAATAGTTGCAGAGTTAAAAGATGCCTAATCATCCAAGCAGGCAACAACGACATGTCAATCCTTGCGCTATTCTACACGTTACCAAGTACATTATTAAATCACATTCTATCAACCACCAGTGAATTTGCTTCACTCAAGTTATACTGAAATTCAGTTACTTGGTTTGGTGATGTGATGCATACACACACTGAACTAGCCATTGATTCACAAAAATAAATCACTGGTCACATCTGGAAAGTAAAACTTCTTTCACCCTACTCACTGTTACCTCAAAAAGGAAGCATTATATTCTATTTATTACAAATGAAATAGTAACCAAGCTTACTGTAGATTGGATGCTTAGAGTTTCATTATTTTATTTTTTAGTATTAATTAATTATTTGTTATTATTTAATAATATTACTCAATTAATTTGATTGGTTCAACAAAATAAATGTTTTATCATGATCATTATCATGATAAATAAAATGTAAGTATTTAAGATGTTCACAGCTTTAATCTGGCAAAGAAAAACATGCAGCCATCATTTAGGAAACCTAAATGCAAAGTTTAACCCCTTTGTTTTAACTACAGCCTCTCCAGCATCCCTCTAGGTTGCATGTATTCATCAAGACAAGACAGGACACAACTGAATAACAGTACAAGTACACAATGATGGTTAACACACAAGGCATAAGTGCCAAAACAATTTATCATACAATCATAGAAATGGTTTGGGTTGGAAAGGACCTTAAGACCACATAGTTCCAGCCCCCTAGACCACGTCATCCAAGGTTCTGTCCAACCTGGCCTTGAGCACTGCCAGGGATAGAGCATTTATCACTTCTTTGATAAATTCTTTCACATTGTTCCAGTGCCTCACCACCCTGGTATCATAGCACAGCATTTCTTTAATCTTCAAAAAGCTAACGAAATAACTTACCATTGGCTTTCCATAAAATGGAAAGCCTTGTAGTTGTCTCAAAGCATTGGTAGATGATCCAAGTTCTTTAAATATAACAAAAGCCTGTCCTCTCATCTTCATAGTCTTTAAAGCCACAATGTCAACCACATGGCCAAACTGTGAGAATAACGCATACAGAGACCTCTTCAGTTCTGTTGACCATATGAAAAAAAAAATTAGATTATAACAGGTTACATGGAAGTGTCCACCTCCACAGAGTTTGCTGTCCTTCAGCAATGTTTTTTGGCAGCTTTAGCTCACACAGCGATACGTTACGCGAGTTTTGTCTAAACTGTTGCATGAGTCCAAGTTTATTTGCCCAGTTTTTGTAAGTTAGCGTATAACACTTGGTTTCACATCTCAAATATTAATGCAGTGAAAAAGCTGTACTGCCATCCATTCTACATTCTAAGAGTAACAATTACATAAGAGTATATATATATTTTTTTTCATGTACATATATGTACACACACTCACATATTCAAGCATGATGTATGACAGCCATGAAAGGCTGATCAGAAAATCAATACCATAACATGCAGTACTAAAGAGGTATCACTTAAGACAACAGCAAAATAACAACTACTTTAAGGCTAATTTAATTTGGAAATTTTGTTTGTAACTGTTTAACCAGTTCTCTCACACACATGAAGTGTTTTTTCAGTCTGTATCTGAGTGTGTTCTTGTATGAGCCCACTGTACCTTACAGCTGCAATGGATTTATTTTCATTATTTAAAATCACCTGACTACACACCAAATAAAACCTTAATCTTACCCAACCAAACTAATAGAATCATAAATAAATAATCTGTATTGTGTAATCATTCTACCTCACAAATCTTAGCATTTGAAATACTTCAGCAACATACGAACACTCTCTCTTATTTACTGGTTATAACCCCTATTGCCAATAGTAACGTGTAATAATTAGCTGGTAATACCAGCCCACTGTCACTTCCTCCAGCTGCTCCTGACCAACCAAACTGCTCTATTTTTAAGCTTTTTTATTGAAACACTTTCCTTAAAAATAACTTCTAAACCTGTATTTAAAAAATCAAATCTGTAAGCTTCATAGGTAATTGGAAACCCTCCATTTAAAAAGTATAAGCCCACTGTGTCATAAAGGAGACATTCTAGTTTATAGGACACTTAACATGCTACAAAGAACAAAGCCCTAAGTTACTTAGTAAAATCATCTTGCCAAGTTAAGAAATAATTTCCCAGTAAAGCTGTTTGCACTTTCAGAGCTTCCTGAAGCAATGTTTAAGTAGTGCTAATTTGATTCCAGCACTCTGCTCACAAACAGTAACAAATAAACTACTGTGACTGTACCCACAATCACCTTAGATTGTAAACTAAGCATAAGCATAAAGTGGGTGGTTCTACACACTGAAGACACAGCCAGGTAAGGGCAAGAATTTTATTTCCAGCACACTGTGAAGTGCTGAAGTTCCTCAGCACGAAGCCATCTCCCTGGAGTGCACTGCACCAACTGCAAGGCAGCATCTCCAATGCAAAAACACAAAGCAGGCTTGCCCATGCCATGTCCACCACTTCTGCGTAGGACTGAACAAATGAGAAGCTCACAGATGTCCCCACACCACAGCAAGAGGGGACTGCAAAGGCCACCAAAACACATGCCAACACCCCTATTAGCATCCATCAGATATTCTCATTGGTCATTCACTGAGAAGCAAACCTGGCCTGTGCAGTTAGTTACACAAATGCAGCAGGGAGGCAACGAGAAGCTGCCTTAGAAACAAGGTCTCTGCTTACAAGAGGCCTAAAAGTTGTGCTGCATTTTCTGCTGAGAGCTCGGTTCACACCCGCCGCCTGCCCGGCACCTCACTGCCGGAGTGCCTGGTGCTTCCCAGAGACGAGTCACGGGCCCCATACCTTCTTTCTTAATCTTATCGTTGATGTTGTTGATGTAGATGGTGTGGTTCGGCCTGATGTCCATCCTCGGCGGCGGCTGCACACCTGCCTGCGGGCAGAGCACACGTGGGACCCGTTACCGGCAGCCGAGGTGCGGCTTGGGCCACATGCACGCTCCATATCCACCCTCCCCGCGCGGGCCGGTCCCAAGGACGGCGGGACGGGCGCTCTGAAGGCAGCCCCGCGGCATCCCGCCGTACCCCACATCCTCCTTTCTTCCTCCCAGCAGCCCGAGAACCCTACACCGCTTACCTCTTCCCGCCGCGATGGCGGCCGGCCGGTCCTGTCCCGTCCCCTTCCGCCCCGCGTAACGGCGACGCAGGCGGCAAAGCCGCTCCCGCAGCGATCGATGTGCCGAGCGCCGATGCCCGGCAACGCCTGCGCAGTAGCGGCCGCTCTGTTGGCGCTAGCCGCACGGGTTAACGGCGGCCTCGGCGCCCCGAGCTCCCTTTGTTGGCTGCCTCAGTGGAGGCCGGTGAAGCGCTTCGGGGAGCTCCATTTCCCTGTGGATCATCCCCGCGGTGAGGGGGGCAGGGGATTATAGTCGGGGCTCTTCGGGAATCACAACGGGGCTTGGAACTTCCCGACATGGGGGTTTCCTGCCCCAGGCTTCGGCTCTACCCGGTACCAGACAGCTTCATTTTTGTCACCGCAGCTGACACAGCAACTGGTGGAGAATGAAGGGAAGCAGTAACTTCAAAATGCCCATAGACATTCATTAGCTAGGGTTTGGTTTTACATATGATGCTGAGAGGGCAATGTATTTCAGGATCCCTGTGGTAGTGGCAGCTCAGGGTAAATAACCAGCACAGACTGAGCTTGTGGCCATTGAATTTTTGGAATCATTTTGCGGGCTGCATACCTTCTTTCCTATGAATAATTATGAGGCTTTTTCGGAACCAATTTGTAGCTGTGAGGGTTTAACCTGGTAACGTAGCAAAAAGAGAATATAATCAATAAGATCTTGCTTTGTAAAAGCAGGAATGTTAGAGAGTTCTCAGTTCAGTTGCATTTCAGGGAGAAAACCATTGCTTCCAGATTCTAGGGTTTGTTTGAGTAAAAAGAAAATCTTGTGTTTAGGAAGCCTAAAAAGAAAAACATGGATGAAAGTGTGTTGAATATGAATAAATGGATAAAAAGCTGTTCATTGAGATGTTACTTACTGGTGGAAGAGAAGAGCGAGCGCCTCAGCTGTTTGTAGCATTGCATGGAATGGGGAATGATGTGCCAGTGTGATGCCATATGCAATGCATACATGCCCCAGATTTAAAATGGGATAGGCAGCAGTTCCAGGCAAGTTTTAGGGGGCTAATTATTTTCCTTGGTTTACTGTTGTAGAAGTACTTATCATGATAAAGTTTAACTTTGAAATCCAAGCACGAGCAATGCATTAAACCACCATTCTTCAGAAACACTGACTGTGCTATATTATGCATTGATCAGTGTAGTCCATGTAAGTTCATAATTTAGTAACAGTGCTCAAAAACTACTTACTTGTTACTGAGTGAGCATAGCTAAGGGAGTTTTTCTCACAGAATCAAAACTACTGACGTGCTGTAAATGATTTTCAAAATAAAGCCCTTCAGCTGTTCACAGAGAAGACATGTTAGAGAAAAGAAACGCACTGAAAACCTTACCCTGACACAAAGTGAAGAGGAATTCATGGCTTCAGTAATTGATCCAGCACAGCGTGCAGCACTCATGCTTGCTCTGTGTCACTTTAAGCACAGCTGATTTATTCTTGCAGGATTTGAATGCAGTAAAGCAGAAAAGCTGTGTCTTGCCTGCTCCTCAGGTGGGATTTCACAGTCTGCCTGCCAGTTCAATAGAAGTGACATTCATTCTTCAGCTTGGCTTCCCCCTTCTCCTCCCCAAGGTTTATTTGGATTACTTTTGTTTTCTTAATCCCCTAACAGAGAGGTGCAGTACTCTCATATTCCCTCAAACAGTCATTTGTTAAAGTCTGAAAGCTTGAAGTATTGCAAAAATTACTTCAAGTTTCTTAGCAAGAGTGCCCATAGCAACTTAGGAAGCAGTTACAATTTATCACCAATATAACAGGCTGGGAACATGCTTCTGGCTTGAACAGGTAGCTCCTTCATCACAGGTTGTCAAACAGTGCTGGAGAAACAAAACAAAGGGCACAGGGTTCTTGAAAATACCTTTCTTGCAATTGCTCTTCCATCTTCCTGCCCTTTGCTCAGGTCAAGGAAACCTAGCATTTCATTATTGTTGCTGTTGTTTGTTATGAAACCTGTAATGAACACTGAGGGGTTTTCCTTTGCCTTCCTTTTCTAAATACGATGCAATTCTCCAAACTAGGCCAGGAGCACATGCAGGAGCTGCCTGTAGGGGAAGCTTCACACCCCTCTGCAATCCTCACAGCATTGATTTGGTCCGCATACACATGATGCCTGATGCTTTACACAGTTGGTATCTTCCTGTATTAATGTCATAGGATAAGTAAAGTTATTTTAATTTATCGGTATAGAAATGTTATCACCTCACCTGTGTGTGTAATGAAAATCATATGCTTTTCATTATACAGACACAAGTATGACGTTTTCATCATGACATTATACAGACACAAGTAAGTTTAATTTGCTGATGACACCAAGCTGTGTGGTTTGGTTGATATGCTGGAGGGAAGGAATGCCATCCAGAGGGACCTTGACATGCTTGTGAGGTGGGCTGATGCCAACCCCATGAAGTTTAACCACTCAAGTGCAAGATCCTACACCTGGGTCAGAGCAATCCCAGGCAGAGCTACAGGCTGGGCAGAGAAGAGATTCAGAGCAGCCCTGTGGAGAAGGACTTGGGGTGTTGGTGGATGAGAAAATGAACATGAGCCGGCTTCAGTGTGCGCTCACAGCCCAGAAAGCCAACCGTATCCTGGGCTGCATCAAAAGGAGCGTGACCAGCAGGTCGAAGGAGGTGATCCTGCCCCTCTACTCTGCTCTTGTGAGACCTCACCTGGAGTATTGTGTGCAGTTCTGGGGTCCTCAACATAAAAAGGACATGGAACTGTTGGAACAAGTCCAGAGGAGGCCACGAGGATGATCAGGGGACTGGAGCACCTCCCGTATGAAGACAGGCTGAGAAAGTTGGGGCTGTTCAGCCTGGAGAAGAGAAGGTTGCAGTGGAGACCTCATAGCAGCCTTCCAGTATCTGAAGAGGGCTTATAAGGAAGGTGAGAGGGACTCTTCATTAGGGAATGTACTGATGGGACAAGGTGTAATGGGTTAAAACTTAAACAGGGGAAGTTTAGATTGGATATGAGGAGGAAGTTCTTTACTATGAGGGTGGTGAGGCACTGGAATGGGTTGCCCAGGGAAGTTGTGAATGCTCCATCCCTGGTGGTGTTCAAGGCCAGGTTGGACGAGGCCTTGGGTGAGATGGTTTAGTGTGAGATGTCCCTGCCCAAGGCAGGGAGGTTGGAACTGGATGATCTTAAGGTCCTTTCCAACCCTAACTATTCTGAGATTCTGTGAATGCTTTGTGATATGGCCAGGTTGATCTTCAGTGTTTGACTGCTGTGTTCTGCTGTCTCAAGGAGCACGATAATACCTCCCTAAACATTGGAACATGGACAAAGTGAACAAAATGGCAGAAAATAAGGAAATTCCCTAGGAAGCACAAAAATGGTGCTGTGAGCGCCGGCAATGTCAGTATATGTGAAACCTCATGTTTAAGACAGAAAAGGTTCTTTGAAGGGTGAACCATTTCAGGATCTATATTCAATTAGAAGGTGCAAAAGAAAAGAAATTGGGCCCTATAATTCAGCAGTTGCTGGGCAGTTGTCCTGACTGCCTTCCACTAGTGTAAATTGCCAGAAGGATCTGAGGAGCCTGCAGTGATTTACAGATCATTGTTCACAGGCTCAGGATACGCGACCTTTGCAAACTAACAAAGCGAAGTGAACAGACAACATGATGGCAGGAGAAATTTAGTATTGACAAATGTGTGGTGAAGCACTTGGAAAAGCATCATTTGAACCACCTGAATTAACTGTAACCGCTCAGGAAGAGGACCCAGCTGACCCCTATTGGGGGACAATAAAACACCCAGTGGTAGGGAGAGAGGCAAGCAGAAACACTGTATGGAAAGGGAACAATGTACTGTGGTTCTTTTAATAAAGCTGTTTGATAATCACTAAGATGATTGAATGTAGTACTGCTTGATCTAGAAGAACCTCCAGGCATTCATCTGACATTTATTATTGGCAGTTTAAACTTTTAATTATTGAATACTCTGCCTGACAGACCTCTCAGGTAGACAATGTAATTTAGTCAAGGGACCTTCACCAGCCAAGGGAAGAGTACACCATCACAACCACGTATTTATTACTAGTGTTTCAGAGGAAAATCAGTCTATCATGATTAATACAACTGTTTGCTTGTTCTATTGACCAAGTCACCTTTCTCTCTTACCAAGTCCACAGGAACAAATAGCTTTGTTTCTCTGGATAGACTTCTAGTTTATGGCAACAGAAAATAGTTTCATTGCTTAAAAAAAAAAAAAAATAAAAATTACCATTGTTAAGTAAACTAGGACTGAATTTTAGATACTTGACATTCATATTTAATTATTTTTATCTAGAATAATATATCCAGCATATATATCCAGCATTGTTCAGCCTGGAGAAGAGAAGGTTCCAGGGCTACCTTACATCAGCCTTCCAGGACCTAAAGTAGCCCTACAAAAAATCTGGTGAAGGACTTTTTGTAAGGCATATAGTGACAGGACAAGGGGGGATGGCTTTAAACTGACAGAGGGTAGGTAAGGTAGATAATAGGAAGTTCTGCCCTGTGAGGGTGGTGAGACACGGGCATGGGTTGCCCAGAGGAGCTGTGGCTGCCCCATCCCTGGCAGTGTTCAAGGCCAGGTTGGACAGGGCTTGGAGCAACCTGGTCTAGTGGAATGTGTCCCTGCCTGTGGCAGGGGGCTGGACCTGGATGAGCTTTAAGGTCCCTTCCAACCCAAACCATTCTGTGATTGCGTGATAAACTGTGAAATGAGTGTATTTCATCTTTGTGTTTTATCAAGCATGCTAAGGAAGAAAAATAAGAGCAAAATAATCAGCAGAACTTGGAGGATGACTCGACAGGTCACACAAGGAGCTTGTTCAACGGAAGCCAGCCGAGTTCACCAGTGAATTATTCGCTTTTTCATCTCAGCTCTGTTTCTTTTATTTTAGTGCTCACTAGGTGGCAGCAACTATCACTGCTCTATTAATACAAACCCCCTGCAATTAACATCAGTGACAGACCACCTCCCTTCACCCCCCCCCCCCCCAAAAAAAAAAAACAACCTCAGAAAGAAAAGCTCTGCACCCTGGAGAACATGCCAGACCTTTAGCAGATGACACTTTTAGGGCCTTGCATCTCTTCAGTCCTTGGGGCAAAAGCTTCTCTGAAATCACAAGTATGCTGAGCACTGCCCTTGGTGGCATACTCCTTCTATTCGCTATTTATCATCATGGTAGTTCCCAGTTCGTTTTTGGTGTGTTAATATACTGAAAAAGAGAAAATGTGGGTAGTGCTTTTAATTCCATACAGATGGTTCCAAATTAGTTCAGGGTGCTGGGGGTTGTCCTTTTATTAGTACTAATTGGTGGCAGTGCCATCTGTCCATGCTGTAACTCTTCGCTGGGGAGAATAGCAATGCACTGGTTTGATTTATGATTGTGCAAGAATAGCCACATTCCTTCCCTTTTTCTTTCAGTCTGGGTTAACTTTATTAGTTTTACTGGTATCAGCATTCTAATGTAGTGTAAGCGATGTGACTTACACTGAGCGTTTGAAATTCAATACTTTTGAATCCTAATACATTGTAGTATAATGAAATCAAGACTTACCTGCTGAGTTGTATAAAATTGCCTGGTTGTTTCCATCACTTGTTTTCTTGAATTTCACAAAGCACCAGTCCCCCAGTGTGAACATCTTCACCCACATCAATGCAAACCAGTTTTATCTGCTTCTCTTGCAGAGTTTCCCTGGTGCATGAGTTCTCAGCCCACCAGTGGTGTCCTGGCTGCAATGCTGGGTAAAAGGAGAGCAGCAGTGCTCTGTACAACACTCTCACAATGGGCACCGAGTGCAGGAGGGGTGGGCTCTCATGGTGTGGCAAGCCCTGTTCAGGGCAGAGCTAGCAAACTAGGAACTGACTGTAGAGCATGACCAGAGAAACCAGCCTGGGTCATCCATGAAGCCAACAGCACTTGGTGTAACATCATGCTGTAAGGGAGCAGCAAGGGCAAGTGGTTCCATAAAGGAGGGCAAGCCAGGAGCCCAGCATGTCAGACAGACTGCACCAGCATGGCACAGCCTCACAGCACCTGAGCAAGAAGAGCAGATCTAAATCCATCAGCTCAGCCGCCGCTTGCTGACCACCAGACAAGTCAGAAGCAACAAGAAAGGTCAGAGATCAAGTGTACAGCTTGTGCTCTGTGAGGTACCTGGCCAGGCACGGTTGCTGTGCAGCTCAGGTAAGGACCAGAGGTCACAGACTGGGCCTAAACACAGCTCCTTAGCAAAGAGGAGCCCTGGCAAAGCTCCTCACAGCCCTTGTGTCATAGCAGCCTGAGCCAGTCAAGTTGCCACAGGTCAGTGCTGGTCTTGAGCTTAAGCAGCCAGGCACCTTGGAGGGATGTGTCCTGATGCAAACTGCAGACATCTGAGGGAGCAGGGAGGTGAGGATGGGTGCTGGGAATGTTACGTGTATCGCTGAGCTTGGAGCAGCTGGGCAATAGGAGGTTGGAGGTGATGTCTGCAGCAGCCCAGATATACTGCAGCAAAGAGGTGAGGAGGAAGCTTAACTTGCTTTAAGCAGCATTCATGGGCTGGAAGGCAGGGCAGTGGGTGGGCATGGTGGTCTCAAATAGCTGGTGGCACCACTGTGGAGCTGAAGAAACCTCTCCCCAGATGGGGAGGGAATACAGCATGTCCTGGATGGAGGAGCAAACCTGCCCTTGAAAACATGGCTTGACAGGGAAACAGATTTGCCTAGAAGGAGGATCTCGAGCAGAGATTTGGTTACAACAGCCCTACCTGAGGAGGGAGGTCTGCCCAGCTTAGGGTATCCACAGCGCTTACTGGCAGCTCACCATCAGCATCAAGTGTGGGGCTCTATGAACAACAGGATTCCATAAAGAAGCTCTTTGATTTCCAAACACTTCTTTCTCAAGCCAGCTGAGCCTTGAAATTGCTAACACCCATGCCAGCATCAAGCTATGAAGCCATAAATAAGCTTGTTTATTACTAGTCTTATGGTTAATAATTACTGTAGTTTGGGCAAACAGCAGTAGTAAGCTCCTCTAACAAGTTTTGCCTGGGCTTGTGTTAAACTCTGCCAGTTCCCCGTATGGGTACTAATAAAGCTCGTGAGTTATTTTGATTGTCTCATTCCTTTAAACATTTATTGATTTAAATCATTTAGTTCTCAGTCACAACAGGCACTGGGGTGCTGGTAAATCATACCATCTCTGGTACTTGAATTGGCTGTAAATCTGCCATATCTGGTAGGCTCGAGCTGACTATAAATTCTTTCAGTGCTTCTAAAGCTTGGCTGGCTGTGGAAATGACTGCCTGTGTTGTGCTGCCTTATGTCTGCAGCCGTGCTGGGAGTCTGAGAGCCCTTCAGTGCCTATTTCTCATTTAGCTTCAGTGTGGTAGAGCCCTTTCCAAGTATTAGGGTTCTCCTGTGCCATTCCTTTAAAATAAACACCCTACATCACCAAATGCTGTAGGTCAAGAACGACATCAAATGCAGCATCAATCTCCTCTCCATCAGAATTCCACATGGAGCAGCTCTGCGCTCGCTGGCTTTCTAAAAGACTCCGTTTCAGCTACGATTTACACCATCCTGCCTTCAGTAATGTAAAAATAAATCTCAGCTCTCTGAGATGAGATCTTGACTCTGAATGAATAAATTTCCCACCTCCAAAGAGTGAAATGAGAACAGGTGCTTGAATATATGAACACATGAATCTGCTGGCTTAAAATGAAGTGCGCAGGTGGATTAAGACAATCCTTCCCGCTGCACTTCTGGTTACAAAGTAAGGCTGTACAATATTAAGCAGTCAACATCCTAAATCAAATAAAAATGTCCTGTTTTCAGCCCAAAAGGCAATTATTTCCCATAGAGCTGGTCATAATTTTGCAGGAGAGAACCAGTAGTGACAAAACCCCCTTTTGTTTAAGGGTGTTTTTATAAATTCAGTTTTTAGAAAAGGTTTTTCGTTCTTCATAAAATGGATGAAACACTTGAACATTTTCAAGCACTGAAAAAGCACTTTTACAGAAGGTGTTTTGTTTTTTTCTTGCGAGACAGAGGAACTATGAACTTTTCCCATACACCTCCTGCTGCCTCCTTAATTCTGTGTGAAGTGATGGTTTATCCTGGAGAATCCCATTCAGCTGACACAACTTCTTTACTTTGAGGTTAGTCGTTTTTCAGCTCAATGTGAAAATGTGATCTTGTGGTTGCTATCGGAAGGTACATCTGTGTTGCTGCCAAAGGTGTGATTTCCAGCACAGGGAGACACTACTGCTCTAACAGTAATTTATCTAGCTCATGAAGCAGTAACATCAAGGTGACAGAAGCACAGGAGGCCAACTCCTGCGCTACCACTTGTGATGTCTTTAGGGGCTGCAGTGATAGGACAAGGGGTAACGGGTTAAAACTTAAACAGGGGAAGTTTAGATCGGATATAAGGAAGAAGTTCTTTACTGTAAGGGTGGTGAGGCACTGGAATGGGTTGCCCAGGGAAGCTGTGAATGCTCCATCGCTGGCAGTGTTCAAGTCCAGGTTGGACAGAGCCTTGGTGACATGGTTTAGTGTGAGGTGTCCCTGCCCATGGCAGGGGGGTTGGAACTGGATGATCTTAAGATTCTTTCCAACTCTAACTACTCTATGATTCTATGTCAGGTACGTGGATGGCAGCATTTCACTGCTCTTCCCTCCCCTGCTTGATACAGGTGGGTATTGAAGCCATCTAAGAATGCCTGGAGAAGTGCAGCCGGGAAGCAGATGAGAGAAGGGATCTCCACACCTCTCCTCCATCCAAGAGCATGGGGCAGGACTGGCAGGGGAGAGCCAGCTTGTATGAGTTTGGAATTGAAGAGGTACCTATTAGGTAGCACCTTCTACACTC